TAATGTAGCTAAACTGTTTACTAATAATTACTATTGCGCTTTATGCGCTTTTTCGATTATATGTTTCTTTTTTTTTTTTCGCCCAAATTTTTAGTGAAATATCCTACTTTTTCGCGGCCGCGGGTCTTAATAATGTAGATCCTCCTATAAATGAGTTAAAACACTTTGTTGATATCCACGAAAACGAGATATCTTATAACCTGCTTCATGTATTAGAAAACTGATTGGTGTTTGAAATAATTGCAAATATTGAATATGTTATTGTAATATAGGCATATAATAAGTTTAATTACATTTTTTCTATGTTTTGCAAACAATTTCCGACTAACAGTCATTACATATATGAGACTAACATTCTAGTCTTAAAATAACTTCATCTACGACTAACATTCTAGTCTTAAAATAACTTCATCTACGACTAACATTCTAGTCTTAAAATAATTGCATCTACGACCAACGTTCCAACCTTTAACTAGTAATGTTTGCGACTGAAACTAGCTTTTGTGCCATTGTGTAATTTTATGTGCGACTAACATTTCAATTTTATGTCGTTATATATATATGTGACTAACATTCTAGTCTTAAAGTAATTTTACCTGTGACTAACATTCCAGCCTTTGAATCGTATTGTGTGCTACTACCATTCCAATCTCGGTGTCATTATCTATATGCGACAAACATTCTTGTCTTCAAGCAATCTTACCTGTGACTAACATTCCAATCTCGGTGTCATTATCTATACGCGACTATCATTCTTGTCTTCAAGCAATCTTACCTATGACTAACATTCCAATCTTTGTAACTATATGTATACGTGACTAACATTATAGTTTTTAAGTAATTTTTACCTGTGACTAACATTCTAGTTTTTAAGTAATTTTACCTGTGACTAACATTCTAGTTTTTAAGTAATTTTACCTGTGACTAACATTCCAATCTTCATGTTTTCACATCTAACTAACATTATAGTTTAAAAGTAATTTTACCTGTGGCTAACATTCTAGTTTTTAAGTAATTTTACCTGTGGCTAACATTCTAGTTTTTAAGTAATTTTATCTGTGGCTAACAATCCAGTCTTTGTGTTTTCATATTAAACTAACATTATAGTCTAAAAGTAATTTTACCTGTGGCTAACATTCCAGTGTTTAAGTAATTTTACCTGTGGCCAACATTCCAGTGTTTAAGTAATTTTACCTGTGGCTAACATTCTAGTTTTTAAGTAATTTTATCTGTGGCTAACATTCCAGTCTTCGTGTTTTCATATCAAACTAACATTATAGTCTTAAAGTAATTTTACCTGTGGCTAACATTCTAGTTTTTAAGTAATTTTATCTGTGGCTAACAATCCAGTCTTTGTGTTTTCATATTAAACTAACATTATAGTCTAAAAGTAATTTTACCTGTGGCTAACATTCCAGTGTTTAAGTACTTTTACCTGTGGCTAACATTCTAGTTTTTAAGTAATTTTATCTGTGGCTAACATTCCAGTCTTCGTGTTTTCATATCAAACTAACATTATAGTCTTAAAGTAATTTTACCTGACTAACATTCCAATCTTCGTGTTCTTATATGTAACTAACATTACAACATTCACCGTAAAAAAAAGATACCGTTGTGATTTTTAAAATATTGTTCATATGCAGTGTTTAACTTTCAATTTATGTTATGAAATGCCTTAATTGGTTGTTATTATTATGTACGTGTAAATTGTGTGAAATTCAACACAAAGATTGTGCATCAGTCAACACATATATATTTCTGTTTTGTTTATCCGTACTGATTGTATTGTTTGTTTTACAGTGTTCAGGTCATTACAGCTACGACTGACTTTTTTTCAATATTTGTATCATTAGCATTCCAACATTCAGGTTACCATGTCTGCAGATAATAGCCCTAAATATCATTAGCATTCCAACAATCAGGTTACCATGTCTGCAGATAATAGCCCTAAATATCATTAGCATTCCAACATTCAGGTTCCTATGTCTGCAGATAATAGCCCTAAATATCATTAGCATTCCAACAATCAGATTACCATGTCTGCAGATGATAGCCCTAAATATCATTAGCATTCCAACATTCAAGTTCCTATGTCTGCAGATAATAGCCCTAAATATCATTAGCATTCCAACATTCAGGTACCTATGTCTGCAGATAATAGCCCTAAATATCATTAGCATTCCAACATTCAGGTTCCCATGTCTGCAGATAATAGCCCTAAATATCATTAGCATTCCAACATTCAGGTTCCTATGTGTGCAGATGATAGCCCCAAATATCATTAGCATTCCAACATTCAGGTTACTATGTCTGCAGATAATAACCCTAAATATCATTAGCATTCAGGTTCCTATGTCTGCAGATAATAGCCCTAAATATCATTAGCATTCCAACATTCAGGTTCCCATGTCTGCAGATAATAGCCCTAAATATCATTAGCATTCAGGTTCCTATGTCTGCAGATAATAGCCCTAAATATCATTAGCATTCCAACATTCAGTTTCCCATGTCTGCAGATGATAGCCCTAAATACTTATGTCATTATTTTACAATCTTTACAATATTGTGTCAGTAACTGACAGAAAAATTTTCACATGACCATTTTTATGTCTAACAGTTTAACCTTGGTGGGTTAGACGAAGCGTATTGGTCAGCACACTCGGACTTGAATACAGAGAATCATGGTTCGCTTCCCGTTTCTGCAAAAAAGTACACCGACTTAGATGCTGTGAGTGCGCTATAAGGACAACGGTCAAATGTCATTAATCAGTCAGACAAGATGTACTCGAAGCATTTACGATGGGTGCTTATGATTAGCTGCCTTCTCCTGTAGTATATTAGTTCAAAATTAGAATTTGGTTGTTGTTAGACACAAATCTACACAATGAGCTATCTGTGTTCTGCCCACCACGAGTATCGGTATCGACACCCGACTTTTAGCATCTTCAGCCTGCAGATATACCGCTGAGCTAATGAATGGGACTGCTATGCGCAGATAGCTCTTGTGTGGCTTTGCGTAAAGGTTCTACGAAAAAAAAATGTCTATATGAAGACAAACCTCCATACTTAAGAAATGTAAAATTAATTAATTTCGGTATAAGGAGACATTGGCTAGATTCAAACGGACTGTTTAAAACAAGTGAGAACAATACACAATACGGTCATCTCTCGTTTGCTCTTACATTTCGAGGACTAAGATAATCTCGGATGGACCTTCGTATATTTGGTGCAGGTGAATGATTCGTGGACACGGCTCACACATCTTTAGAACTAAGATTTCGTGCATTATTTCGTGACGGACATTAGCTGAACGGCGTCGTTTCTTGATGCATTTGGCAGCATAGGCTCGGTCGTTGGTTTTATCTGTGCAACGTCGAACTGTGGCGAACTTTCCACTGTAAACGAAGAAAAAAAATATATATATCAATAAATATACACAAAAAGAAGCACTTGACCTCTAATGAGTTATAATATCCTATAATACAGATAAATCTCAACACCTGACCTTTCGAACAGTTATACTAGCCTGGACCTTTAAATAGCTAAGTCTGCTTGAAATACAAAGTAGTATTCGACCTCCAAAACTTATAACCGCCAAAAACATAGATATGGATCTCCAACACCTGACCTTTCGAACAGTTATACTAGCCTGGACCTTTAAATAGCTAAGTCTGCTTGAAATACAAAGTAGTATTCGACCTCCAAAACTTATAACCGCCAAAAACATAGATATGGATCTCCAACACCTGACCTTTCGAACAGTTATACTAGCCTGGACCTTTAAATAGCTAAATCCGCTTGAAATACAAAGTAGTACTGGACCTCCAAAACTTATAACCGTCCAAAAACATAAATCTCCAACACCTGATCTTTCAAACAGTCATACTAGCCTGGACCTTTAAATAGCTAAATCCGCTTGAAATACAAAGTAGTATTCGACCTCCAAAACTTATAACCGCCAAAAACATAGATATAGATCTCCAACACCTGACCTTTCGAACAGTCATACTAGCCTGGACCTTTAAATAGCTAAGTCTGCTTGAAATACAAAGTAGTATTCGACCTCCAAAACTTATAACCGCCAAAAACAAAGATATGGATCTCCAACACCTGACCTCTAACAGAGTCATGCAAACCTGGACATCGCTTGACCTTCAAACAGTTAGAGGAACCTGTAATACAGAGGTGCGCTGGATTTTCAAACAAATTAAATCAGCCACAAACATAGATGAAGACCTCTAAAACTGGACCTTTAAAGCGTTATACAGGACTGAAATATATGGTTCGTTTTTGTTTTCTTTACCTCTTCCGACTGTTGTCTAACTGCTTGTTTTGGTGGATTCTTCCTGTACAAAGTTCTTCCGTTCTTCCAAGCAGGCTTCAGAAAATATGGCAACACCCACTGCCGTGTATCAGTGCAATAAATGTGAAGAGAAACCTCCTATCTGGTAGTTATTATTATTGCCAAAAATATGCCTAAATAAGTACAACAGTACAGTTTAACAAATTACAATTCACTGACAAAAGACGAAAATGTACTTGGAAGAGCTTGATTTTTTGTGCATGTCTGCCATCAGTCAAGCAGGAAGAGCTGAAAGTGTTTGCAAAGGTATAGTAGAATGGGAAAGATTTCCCACCCACAAAGAAATGTATAATCTACTTAAGGGTACAACAAATATATATTTTTTCATCATTCTCGCTGTTTCATCTAGTCGAATTGTTACTATTTTCCATGCGTCTTTTGCTCTCCCTCTTCTGGAAGAAATATTCTTCTTCTGGAAAGGTTTGATGGAGACCGAAAACAAACAACAACAATAAAAAACAAAATATAATAATGTTGAACTTATGCGAATTATCAACATAAAACATTTACAAAAGCCAACATATGATCAAAGAGCCCAACCAAACTGAAACATAAAGACCAGCACTTGACCTCTAAAAAGGTATACTCGCTTGAAACAAACTACTACTGACCTTCTGAAGGACTATACCAACCTAACCATAAGGGCCAATACATGATCATGAGAGACTTCTATTAACCTGAAACATAAAGACCATAATCGGATGGTTATTAGGTGTTTTCAACCTGAAACATAAAGACCATAATCGGATGGTTATTAGGTGTTTTCAACCTGAAACATAAAGACCATAATCGGATGGTTATTAGGTATTTTCAGCATGAAACATAAAGACCATGACCTGATGGTTATTAGATATTTTCAACCGGAAACCTAAAGACATGACCTGATGGTTATTAGATATTTTCAACCTGAATCCTAAATACTATAACCTGGTGGTTATAAGGTATTTTCAACTTGAAACCTAAAGACCATAACCTAATGGTTATAAGGTATTTTCAACTTGAAACCTTAAGACCATAACCTAATGGTTATAAGGTATTTTCAACCTGAAACCTAAAGACCTAAACCTGATGATTATTAGGCATTTTCAAACTGAAACCTAAAGACCATAACCTGATGGTTATAAAGCATATCAACCTGAAACATAAAGACCTAAACCTGATGATTATTAGGTACTTTCAACCTGAAACATTATTATATACTATCACTTGATCTTTTAAACTATTATACCAATTTGAAACTTGTATATACCAGCATTTGACTTCCAAAAGAATCATATAAACATGAAACACCCATATATATTGATCTAGATCTTGAAAGAATAACCAAAATCTGAAACACATATATAAAACCAGTATCTAACTTCTAAAGAACTAAAGGTTGTTGCAAAATAAATCACAATTTTTCCCCGAGATCATAACAAAGAAAATAAGATTTTAATCCAATCAAAAAAGTAATTACAAGTATCAATACCACTGGATTGGGCCACCATTGTGCTCGTGCACGAGTTTTAATCGATTTGCAAAAGATTTCAGCAATGCAACAGGCATGTCTGTTTTTGTGGCTGTCTCTGTGAGCACATCAGTGAGAACACAAAATCAAGGTTTCACGTTTGTGTCTCTCGCATTTAGTCAGAGTTTCCAATATTTCTTCTGGGCATTGTTGAACGAAAACTCCGACAATTTCGGCGGGATTTAAATCTGGAGACTTCCCAATCCACATTCCACCACTTTTTCACGGCCCACTCTTTCAAATTAAAGAATTCTGAAGCTTTTGAGGCATTAATGGGATTTTTCAAATCTAGCATTGCGACGTGGCGACTGGAAGACTTGAATTCTCGGAGCATGTCTGCGAATAGTTTCTGAGGCAGCACATGCGACACGATCCTGAGTTCTAGTGAGCACCATGATTCAAAAGTTTTCGCAAAAAAATGAAATTCGAGGAGTCAAGTACCCAAGAGAATGTTGAAATGACGTTTTCTCACGAGTGATGATATTACCAAGTTCGTCATGACTTCAGGGAAAAAAGTGTGATTTATTTTGCAACACCCTTTATATTAACCTGAATCGTAGATGTAGTCCAGCACCAAGTTTTATAAACTCATAAACACAAGTTGAACTCATCATTTGAACAGTAGAAAATGATATAAAGCAAAAACATAAATATACGTTAGCAGTTAACCTTTCGAGAGGTCATTATCAACATCAAAGACTAGCACTTGTCCTCTACGAAATGACACCAATTTGAAATTCCTAAATAAAAAATGTTTAATGTAATTTGTAAAACGTTTTAAATCAATTTTAGTGTAGGCTATTTCTCAAGTATTAGAGCAACATACCTGTTTACTAAAATTTGGAATAGAGGGCGTTTAATGTTGGCTGCAATGATAGATAAAATCAAATCGGATCACAATAAATATCTTGAGGTCCTTCTAATGTTTAACATCGATGTAAATAAGGTAAGTATAAAAAGACTATTTCATCGTGTGGTAATAAGAATTATGTTACAGTCGCAACAATGCGCCAACCAATTGTAATTTCAAAATTACATAAATTAAGCCAAACAAAGGTTTTATTTCATCATATGGATTTGTTTTAAAGTGACTTTTTACTTAAGTCTAGTTGGCTTAAAACATTATGAGTTAAAAGGTGTTATTTAGAGAAAAAAATATTCTAGGAGTGACAGGAACTTGTTGGAATTTTATGATGTAAAATAAGAAACGCCCAATTTTCATCAATATATAAAATAATTGATAACTTCCTTTAAAGTTGTTGTCGGCCAAATCTAATTTTACAACACGAAACTAAGCAGTTTTTTTTTTTACTTTTGTATATTACAATCTTTGAATGGAAGCAATAAGTGAAAAACTTTACCGTGCAAAGGGCTTGGTCTCCACATGGTAGTCATCGAGAAGTGGCTGTGTATTTATTGAAACAGATGGATGGTTTTCGGAATCTGTTAGAAATCCTTGTAACTGTAGGTCCTTGTTATTGCAGATGTTATTTCCTTTCAGAGCCATGAGTAAAACCTGGAATAGAAAAGTTGAGTTTTACGTTAGGATCCCTTATCCTTATACCTAATGGCTTGTGCAGTGACTAGTATCACTTGAAACTTTTGCAGCTTGTTGTTCAGTAAGATGATGTATTCGAATGTTTATATAAAACAAAATTAGACATCATTTTAAACATGATTATTTTCTGATGTATAATCAAACATGTGCCCATCTAAACCAGAGAAAACTCTATTCGAAACAAACAACTTCATTCAAAACAGCAATCTGTACTCCAAGGCTAACTTTACTTGCTCGAGGAAATTCACCATGTGTTGACGTCAGGGGTCTCTCAGGCAATAGAAAGGGTTGTTAAATTTGGTGCATCTTCGCAATCATGTTCATTTTTTGTAGGCATACGTACTTCAATATCATACCTGCGTCTGACACAAACATGTCTAACACATGTGCAGAACCATTAGGAAGTGTCATGTGATCTTTTCTGACATGTGGAATTGATGTTTTGTACTGGGCAGTACAGTTTCCAGCTGATTTTATTTTATGACGCACGAGAAATCTTTTAATATGTAGCTGTAAACTGTCGAATAATAGGACTGTTAAGACAACAACAAAATAACCTAACACCAGCAAAAAGAAACAAGAGGGAATCCTCAATAACCGCGGTACTTGTAATTCTTTTAGGCAGGATTAGAGTAAATTAATCTACGAGACCTTTGTTTTTCTTTTTATTAGCTATATTTTTGTGCGCCAGCAATAACAAGCGTTGGGCGCGCTTATAACCGATTCGATTTTATTATTCACCAGGATCTCTACCGGTCTACCCTCAAATTGAAATTACTTTAGGCAGGATTAAAATAAATTAATTTACGAGACCTTGGATGTAGTGAAATGTATCAACCGAAAGGGTTGGACCGCCTGAGTCCAATACTGTAATTATATCTCAAATTGGTAAGAACAAAACAACAACAAAAAACAAACAAATTCAGAGTTGTTCTATGAGCCGCTATGCCACGGCTAAAAAAAAGAGCTCCAAGTGGTCCTGGCTTAATTTCTATGTGAAAGGCCACTTTGAGGAGAGTGAAGATGATGACACTAAAGTTTTATATAACCGAAGCACAGATTGATTGTTGTGGTTTACGCGGAGTTGCATGCATTCTATACCTGGTTATGTCTGTTAATTGATTTTTCTTTTATTTCTACGAGAAAAGGTTTCCTAAATGATTTATTGGAAATTTTCATCGGATTCTTGTGTAAAGTCTTGTGCCCTATTAATACTTTGATACTATTTTCAAATAACAGGTGCATGTGGTAGAGCTAGATTAAAATTACGTCTAATAAAATTGTAGGCTTTGGTAGATATTAAATTTTCTTTTTTTAAGAAGACCGTTCAACAACATTTAATTAAATAATAATAATTCGTTTCAAAACTTTAATTTTTTTCCTGGCTGTGTTGAAATGATAAACTGTTTCATCAATTTTTATTTTGGTGGTTGCATGACTATTACTGACATGGTTGTTATGATACAGAAGTACATGGTCTGGACAGATGTTGCATTTGAGTTACTGGATCTGAAGCAACACTGTCGTGTGTGCTTGAATTAGAAGAAAATAGTTTTTGTACTGATGTCCTCTTTTTGGTAAACTGTAAATAAATCACAACATATGACTGAATCAATAATTTACTGAAGTCAATTATTTATTATTCAATAAGTACTTCATTACGTGGATAACCCGCTTTATTGCTTGAGTATTGTAAGTATTATCATATTTCTTTTTAACTATTAAATTCTACAGAAATGCTATAGCGCCATCCAAGAAAAAACTTATAGTCTGTCTATACAGGGAGATACGGCAACAAGCACCATTGTGTTGGCTTACATACAGAAACGAATCTATTTAAAATAGTAGTAGTATCATAACTGCTTAGTACACTTCAAATATATTCTCACTGATTTCACAGAAATGTTCTAAATCAGATACAGAGTAGATTGATATGAATAGTTAATTTAATATACACTAACAATTTTCTGCTGATTTATTTTTCCTGACAGTAGTATAGGCCTATGTGCGATATCAATCTATTTCATTTACTTACTTAGTTTTGTTATAACAAACTTTATCTAGCAAAATACGCCCACAGTTACAACAAAACTATGTTGTAATGTATTCAAACAAACCGATACAGCTGAACATCAACAGATGTTTCCTCAGAATGAACATTTAACCCAATGTTACAGGTGCTTAGGAAATGAAAACACAATTGGCAAAGTATTATCTCTTAGACGAACATTTTGACCTATTCTATCAAAACATTCTTCTTCAAAATAAATGTCCAGAGCATAACCTAGAGTTCGGATTTCCGTCATGGAAATGTGTATGAAATTTGAAAATGCTGAAATCAATTGAGTTGACAAATAAAACTAAGAGAGAAAAAAAAAACCAAGCTTAAGAACGGAAGCTATATGTATTCAAAAGTCAAAGTTCGCCTCAGTTAAGTAACGTTATTGCAGTCAGGCCTTAAGTTACTATACCTGAAAATGTAATACGTTGGTAATAGAAAATCAATCCATATTAATTTATTTAGAGGGAAAAACAAACAAAAAAAAACGAATTTACCGGTGAAACGACACAGGACCAGTTTTGGGTCTATTGTAACAATTCCATGCAACACACACCCATTGGCATTTTTACATTAATTACAAGCTACAACTTGAAAACCCGACTTAGTAACACCACTTAGCAACTGTAAGTACTAACAAGGGACCAACAAGAAGGCTACCTTATAACTTTCGATGGCTTCACGAGAAAGGGTCAATACCCAACCCAGTTCAGTATGAAGACTAGTAGTTAAGATCCTTGTCATAATATCCTTGTGTATGAGTATTGTGACCATGTTCACCTTCTTTGTTATTAAACATGTCATATTCTATATCAACATCATAAAGAACATTGCTATGTTTGTTTAAAAAAACAAAAAAAAATCTTCGCAGCGATGCGAGTTATCCTCTTCTAACTTCCTTATACAATGTTCTTCGGTGGGTCAGCTGTAAGTTTACGGACTTACAATGCCAAAGTCCGGGGTTCGATTCCCGTGGTAGACAGAGTGTAGCTTTGCACTAGGAAACCAGCAAAATATTTTGGATTCTCCTTATTCTATGAACAGTCTTTATTAACCAAACCTGTAAAATTGAAAGCCTTTATTGTAACGAATCTCGTAAATATTTTATTTTAATTACTGGGCATAAAGTACGATTATTGATGTCCTTAATTTTTAGACAATAAAAGAGTTCTTTCTTCTAACAATAAAAATAATATTAATGCTCTTTTTTTATATGTATACACATTTTGTTTTACAGGATAACAGTGTGTAGCGTTCGAAACAAGGACGAATGGACTTGGGCCATATTTGGCTAGGAACCATTTTAGCTAAAAATCGTCAGTGCGTTTGTCTTCCCACCACCCACAGCTGGCTAACCTCCACGCACAGACGTTACACAACTTTAAGAATGTTAAGATATGTGTTGCGAAAACGAACCTTTAATCAATGAAAAAAAATCCATGGCAGCCGTCATGAGAAAAACACGCACCATTTTAAGCTTTTCGTTTGTTTGTTTGAGTCATTGGTTCTAACAGTCTTAGTCATACAAAACACATAGTAACTGACACTTTTTTGTTCTGACTGGAGGAAATATTTGGTAACGTTTACACCAGATCTTCTAAAGCGCTTAATCATTGCATTACAAATTTAGTTTAATTTTATTTTTTCCAGTTTTTAAATAAAACAGAACATAAAATCCGCCAAACAATCAAGTTTACATAGAAACCAGTAATCATGTATAAATGTTATTCGGCACTTTGCAAAGATAGTGAAACGCTCTTTATAATCTAAACAAGATATCAATCCATTTTCCAAATCGGAAAACTTTTCTGTTTATGTGTATATTTTTTTCATTTTAATCACTTAAGAATCATAACTATTCTGAATTTCATTTACCTCCTTCTTTGAAACACTATTTTACATGTGTGTTTGTTTGTTCAAAGGTTGGACCTTTCGAAGAGATTAGCACCTTGTGAATTGGATCTTATTTGTTTGTTTGTTTGTAATTATGCACAGAGCTACATAATGGGCTATCTGTGCTCTGCCCACCACGGGTATCGAAACCCGGTTTCTAGCGTTGTAAGTCCGCAGACATACTGCTGTGCCACTAGATGGCCATAATCTTATTCTATGAATACTAACTCTCATAGTTTCATATTTCCAAGGGTCCAGTAAGTTAAAAGTAATTAGAATTTGTAATTAAATAACCTGTTAGTAAAACTAAAATCTAATATAGCGAAATTGTTCAAATAATTTTTAAGGAACTGTATAAACTCAACGAAAAGAGATATTTGTTGTATTCGAATTAATATACAGCATTGTTGGAACTTTCAATTGCAAAACTTTTAAAATAGTCTTATTTCATACTTGTTTTTTTTTTTAAATAGACAGATTTTGTACAAAGCGATATTTCATACTAAGAGTTTTTTCTATACAAGAGTATACATATTAGCACAACAACACGAAACTTGTTCCCACGTGCCATGTCTATCCCTTCTTAAAAGAAGATATTTTGAGCTCAGCAGATCACGTGACGTTTACTACAACTCAAGATAATGCCATGAGAGAGTGAACTATTTATATCAGTATAGTCAGTACACCATATAAGCTTGGCCGAATACTCGATGATTTGAGGGTAAAAACCTGCACACCACATGAACCACTTTTACGTAGAAAACATTCGCGTGTACAAGTGATTAAAATAAAATTATAATCTTAAAGTTGGGTAAGCTCTTTAGGGAATGATACCATCCAAATGTTCAAATTAGCATCAGTATTTCAATAGATGATATTACACAGTTCATCAAGTTTTTCATCGTGTTGATCACAGTTATATCAACATTTTAGAAAGCGAAGTTATGTAATTCGACAGTTCTATCATGCTGTTGGTCATTATGATATTAATGTTTTAGAAAGATACATTACATAGTTGTTCAAGTTCTATCGTCGTGTTGGCCACAGTCATATTGGTGTTCTATTAAGTAATATTACCTCTGGACAAAGTTTCACTATTATTTCAACGAATACCATTATACAGTTGTCTAAGTCATGTCGTTTATTCAAATATTGTATTCTAAAAATGCCAACATAATTTCAGTAATTATAACTGGTTCGTATCTTTAAAATTCCTATTCAAAATCTGGGGTTTGATCGAAAGCAGTTATTTTCATACTTAATATAAACGAAACTAGTGTGTCTAAAATAGCAAAGGTCAAGCATAAAAAGCGATTTTAGGAACGTAACAGTTTTAAGAAATATAAAACATTTATACAAACTGGAATAAATCTCACATCATCTGAATGAACAGTAACACACACTTCCAAGTTAACATGCCACTTACGTGATGCAAGACAAAGACGATGGCAATTATATATATATATATATTTTGTTTTCTGATCTATACTTAACGAAATAGACTCAGCCATTTTTACCTACAGCTTTATATACGTTCTGTTTTTAACCAAAACATTTAACCCTCTATAGCACGTTGTAACGTACACGTTTTTTAGTCTTGAATTTTGCGCATAGCTACACGAGGGCTATTTGCTCTAGACGTCCCTAATTTAGCAGGGATAGACTAGAAGGGCGGCAGCAAGTCAACAACACCACCCACCGCCAATTCTTCGGCTACTATTTTACCAATAAATAGTGGGATTGGCCGACACCTGGTAACGAACTTTTTAACCACTACAGTTGATACAGTAATGCACGTGTTCAGTTTTTTACCTCTTCGCACCTGGAGAGATGCGTTATTTGTATCACATTTTTTCGTACTGATGTTGCTTCCATTAACAGATTACCAAGAAGTAGGATTCTGGAGGTGATGCTACATTACCAGTAATTTATCAATGATATTACTTTATGCAGAGACCTTGGGGTATTATGCTTGTCTTCTTCGTCATCAGGATTCGGTCCATGTTTTGGACCAGGGAGGGTCAGGTTCAGCGTTGACCTCTTCCTCCCTCTTAGGAATTGTTATTTTTGTTTGCACTGTTACTGAATCCTAGATAATAACCCTTGTTATGTTTTGTCCATTGTCCGCAGTTTTAACTAACATACCCCTTTCGTGCCACGTCAAATTCGTGGAGTAATATTAACTCGTATATTTTCACTAGCTTCACTTATGCATGATCGCACTATTAGTCCGTGTTCACAATACAGTTTCGCTTAGCAGTCATATGCACCCACATACACACACATAATCCTATTATTACATACAAAACCCTTTTAAGATAGAGCTACTCTTTTATTGTTCAATAACCCTAACATCGAAATCGCTCCGGCGTGTATGAGAATGCAAACGTCGTTAGCAGAAAACATCCTTCTAAGAAATCTGTTTTTTGATTGCTGGAATGTTATATGGACTGAAAGATTCAGATAAGGTTAGGTATTTACACTTAAGTAAAAATTACATAGTATGATTTAACTAACAATGTATTTTATGGAATGAACAAAATCATGTAAAACAATTAGCGAATAAGTTACACATTAAAGCTTATGTTCATACCCACTAAAAGTACCCTTGAAAAGTCGAACAAATATAAAAGTCTAAGTAATCTTTTTTGTGAAAGCTCATGTTCCCACTCACTAAATGTGCCCATGCAGAGTCGAAAAAATATTTGCTTATTTGTTTGAATTTCGCGCAAAGTATACTCGAGAGCTATCTGCGCTAGCTGTCCCTAATTTAGAAGTGATAAAGTAGAAAGAAGACAGCTAGTCAACATCACCCCTGCCAACTCTTGGACTACTCTAATTAATTAGTGAGACTGACCGTCACATTATAACGCCAGCACGACGGAAGGGGTGATCATGTTCGTTGAGGGGATTCGAACTCGCAAGTTGTTGAGCGCCCTAGCCAACAGGCCAACGTACAAGTAACAAATCTATCGTTATTACTTAATACACGTACAAATGCTTCAGTTCTGTAGTTGAGTTCTCTTACCTCCATTTGTTGATTCTAAAAGTGGTTACTTCTAGGCAACGTTGGCCCGGCATGGCCAGGTGGTTAGGGCGCTCGACTCGCAGTCTCAGGGTCGCGGGTTCGAATCCCCGTTCCGCCAAACATGTTACCCTTTCAGCCGATGGGGCGTTATAATGTGACGGTCAATCCCACTGTTCGTTAGTAAAAGAGTAGCCCAAGAATTGGAGGTGGGTGTGAAGACTAGCTGCCTTCTCTCTAGTCTTACACTGCTAAATTAGGGACGGCTAGCGCAGATAGCCCTCGTGTAGCTTTGCGCGAAATTCAGAACAAACAAACAAACATACTTCTAGACAACATACCGTTTTATAACTTACCAATTTGGGGTTCATATTCCTTTCTTTGTCATATTCAAGGGTGATGTTTGAGTCTTGACAATTATTGATTACAATCTATATCAATGACGAGCTTATTGTACTTGTCTTTTATCAATTTTTGTTTTGAAGGAGAAAGATTTAATTGAGTAAATGTACTCCTTTCGTGTGTTTGTTTGTTTATAAATTATGCACAAAGCTACACAATGGGCTATCTGTGCTCTGCCCATCACGGGTATCGAAACCCGGTTTTTAGCCTTGTGCCACTGCATTACTTGGTACAGTTTTCAAAACAAGTTGTCTCTTAAGAGTTTGTCATCTTGGAGCTTTATTTTGAAGTGCAGTTACTTTTTTTTATTCACGCATAAGAAGGGTTGAGTTTGGTCACTTTTATACACTTACACTTCAGTATATTCTCGATAATCTAATTGTCAACACTTTATCAGAAAGTATATTTCTTTTCGCACTGTATCACTTGTCAGAACAATAATTCAAAAGTGCGTTATTTTCAGAGATAACAATTTATTCAAGTTCTTTAATTTATCAGAAACACTAAATTAACCAAATTCCGTCACTTTTCGAAAATAACATTTTATAAAAGTTCTTTAATTTGTCAAAAACCCTAAATCAACCAAATTATATCACTTTTTAGAAACAGTTATAATGCTTATACGAAAAATAGTTGATTAAAGTTGTGCAACATATAACAATAAAAATTGTCTAAGACAATATAACTTACCAGAAATAACAGAATACCCTTCCAACTTCTATATCTAATCGGAAACAATGATTCACTTACATTTTGCTTAAATTACCAGAAATAATGATACCCTCAATTTCTACAACTTAGCAGAACCAATGATTCGCTCATGTTTTGGATAAACTACTAGCAACAAAGATTCATTCAAATTCTATATCTTAAGAAAAACAGTAATTTTATTAAATCATATCATTATTAGAATTATTCGTTCAAAATCTCTCTTGTTAAATATAATAGTTTAGTTACATTTTACCAATTGTCAAAAAATGTAATCCCGTCAGCTTCTATCGTTCCTCAGAAACAATAATTCATTTATAATATGTAATTAATTGGCAATGAAATGCATGATATATTGATAAGTTAGTTTTTTTTCTATTCATTCCCTTAAAAGACGAAAAACAAATTATCCATTTAACTATTTTATTGATTTAAAAGTTCTAGTCAGACCAAATATTATTATACAGCTATGTTACCCAACTTTCTTTTGTTACATTATAAATTCCAGGAGCCCCCCAGTGGCACGTATACTGCTAGAAACCGGGTTTCGATACCCGTGGTGGGCAGAGCACAGATAACCCTTTGTGTAGTTTTGTGCTTAATAACAAACAACAACAACATAACTTGTAGGATAAGGATGAAAATTAAAAATATTGTTAACACTATTTAAGTGCTTTAGAAGAAAAAGAGATACAAATTTAACACATGATCACCTTGTTTCTGTTTTTTCTGTCTTCTTTCTCCAATCTAAGGGCTATGGTTCCTTCTACACCTGCTGAGATAGATCTTTTCAAATGTTATTGATAGAAGAAAACACTGCCAGATTTTCCTGGACCAAACAGTAAGTGGATAACCCCCCCGCACTGTTTCTTCTTTTCAGCGCTTCTCATCTTCTGATACACCAAGGCAGGAGAGTAACCAGTGCAGAAAAGCTGATGCGACACCTGGCGAAGTACTTGTTAATCACTACACTTGATATAGTTTTAGATTTTTTGCCTCTGCGCGACTGAAGAGAAACGTTATTTGTACAACATTTTTTGGTACTGATGTTGCTTCCGTTAACAGATTAGCAAGAAACAGAAGAAGTAGGATTCTGGAAGTGATGTCGCATCCCCAGTAATTGAGGAGATCATATTACTATAAATAGAGGCCTTGGGGTATTATATTGTTTAATAAGCCTAACTTCGAAACCGCTCCCGCGTGTCTGAGAATATATACACCTGGAAAAAAGTTAAGCACCCCGTGTTTTTTTCAAGTGATTCAGATTCGACGTTCTTGTGACTGATTATAAATTACCATTCAATCTAAACGTGTTTATCAAATGAAATTATGCATTATTGGGCACAAGAAAACAAGAATTCCACCGTAAAATAACAATTTTTAATTT